TGCGGTGCATAAGGTCGCTATGAGTCGGTACCGACTCGATGGCACCTAACAACAGTAACAACAATCTGTTCTGGAGGAGTCCTGACGTGGCGCTGTGGGCTAATGAATCAGACTGCAAAGTCATTTGAAATGCAAGGTCGGTGGTTCAAGCTCACCAGCTGCTCCCTGGAGACCCTATAGTTGGAATCAGCTTGACGGCACATAACAACAACAACAATCTGTTCTGGTATTCCCACATTCTCCAAATTCAAGTCTACTCTGATTTCACTTCATTAGTCCTGGCTGTATCAAGGAAGAACTGGTTCAAAGCCCTGTTCAGAAGATCTACTTCTGAGAGATCAATCACTGGAAACCCTGTTCAACGTGTTTCTACTCTGACACACATGGACTGTCATGAGTCAAAATTGTCTCCATGGCAATTACTTTATATAATTAGTAAAAAAGAACAGGAATGTGGTAACTGTGTGTCCTGTCAATGCTTAAGAAAACAGTACGATGCTAGATGGCTGTTATAAGTAAGTTGTCATAGAACTAGGAACCAGACGAAACACCTAGGTACTTTTTTATGGTTTAGCAAATAGGCTTTACAATATTAGAATGGATAGAAGAGAAACTTGCAATTTGGAAATGTACATAGAACATGCTCACATCATCTGTGTTTGCATTTTTTTACACCAAAGGAAATGTGATGGGGATATATGTATTTAACAAGAAATCCAAAATAATACTTTCTGTCTTACTTTGGAAGATCGGAAGGTAAATGCTGTTGATTTTATATCAGCTTTTTCTTTATCCATGAGTAGAAGATTTTTGTCTTCCAGAAGACTCAAGTATTTTCCTGTTGTCACATGGCGTAGTCGGAAGGGCTGGCCCCACCTTATATGGCTTCCACTCCATCTAACAAGAAAAGTAAGGACTTGATTCAGTAAAAGCCACAATAACAACATAATTATCAACTAAATGTATATTTCAAACAATGACCAAGGATGCTCTGCCTATATTCTCTTATTTAATGCTTCCAAACAGTTTATGAAGTTGGTGGTATCCCTTTTATTTTACAAAACACAAAATAGCTATTGTAATGATTACACAATATCCAATGCTGCACACCTAGGTAAAAAAGTAGAGTGCCATTTATGGCAAAGTCTTCTGAATTGAAAATAACACCCTACAAACCACTCTTTGGTATGGATTGCATCTCAATGTAAAGAAAACAAAAATCCTCACCACTGGACCAATAAATAACATTCTTATCAACGGAGAAAAGACTGAAGATGTCAAAGACTTCATTCTTCTTGGATCAACTATCAACAGTC